AGTATACACCATATTAATAGACTTTAATATAGAAATAACATGTCCATCTCTACAGATGGAGAAAGGCACTTAGCAGAATTCAATATGGCTTCATGATGAAAAATCTGGGGAACCTAGGATATCTAAACGCAAAAGATCCTTCTCTCTGCACAAAAAGCAAACTGGATTGAAGACTTAACGTAAAACTCGAAAGGCAACCGGAGGAGTACTTCAGGATACAGAGGGTGGCAAGGTCTTTCTGATCAGAGCCACGACAGCACAGCAAACAGCCACGACAACTAGCAAATGAGACTACAAATTAAAATGTTTCTGCACAGCAAGAGAGACTAACAACAGAGTAAAAAGAAGGCCTACAGAACTGGAGGACATCTTTGCCAGATACAGTTCAGAGGAGGATTAACAGATAGAATATAATGTATCAAGAACTACAAAACAATCAAATCCAAACCGCCCCCCCCCCCCAAAAAAAAAAAAAAAAAAAAAAAAAACACTGCCAGCCACGAGTGAGCCACTGGCCATTCTCAAAAGAACACGAATGGTCAATAAACATCTGTAAAGGTGTTCAAACCCTCAGGCACCAGAGTGGTGCAAACACTGCCTCTGCCATTGCATCTCGCCTGGGCTGAAAAGCAGTCATCGAGGATTCAAACGGAAAAAGACAAAAGGTTGAAGATGACGGGGAGAAGGAACCCTCAGTCACTCATGCAGCCACTTTGGAAACCTACAGAGTGAACTACCCTGGGCCCATGGGGCTGGACCACCAACCAAAGAGCAGGCATGCGCTGGACCTGGACCCTGCACATGCGTCAAGACGTGCAGCTTGGTCTTGAGGGTCCCCTAACAATGGAGTAGGGGCTGTCTCTGACTCTATTGCCTGCCTCTGGCTCCCTTTCCCCTAGCTGGGCTGCCTTGTCTGGCCTCAGTGGGAGACATGCCAGGGTGGCCTGGGACCCCTTGAAGGCCTCCCCTTCTCTGAAAAGGAGAGGGGAGCATGAGGGGGACGGTGGGAGAGGACTGAGAGGAGTGGAGGGAGGGGGCTGGGATCAGGCTGTAAAGTGATTAAATACATAAATAAATATTTTTAAAAAAGGACATGAGCAAATGGCAGCTAACAAGCCTCTTAAATCCAATTAGATGCTCCAGTGCCCTCTTCTGGCCTCTGTGGGAAATGCACACACAGTGCACAGACACGCATGTAAACAAAACACCCACACACATTTTTTTTTCAAGACAGGGTTCTTCTATGCAGCCCTGGATATCCTGGAACTACTAGGTAATCCAAGCTGGCCTCAAACTCAAGAGATCTATCTGCCTCTGCTTCCCAAGCGTTGGGATCAAAGGCTAATAATGGTCTGCACCATAACACCCAGCTATAAAAATCATTTTTTAAAAGACAAAATGAAGAAAATAAAAACCATACAATATAGGAAATATCTTAAATTTGGATGACTATACTAATATTATTACACCAGTGGTGTTTTTTTTTTTTTTTCTGGGCATAGTGGTGCATGCCTGTGTTTAATCCCAACATTCCAGAGGCAGAAGTAGGCAGATCTCTTGGAGAAGACAGCCTGGTCTACATAGTGAGTTTCGGGCCAATCAAGGCTACATAGTGAGATCCTATCTCAAAAATAATTTAAATTTCTAACCCCAGGTTGACTTGATTGTTTTTCGTAGAAGAAACAAGATGAAAGCCAGAAAGACAGAAGTGAGCCGTTAGAGGCCTGAGGTCAGAACACGTCAGAAAGTGGAAGAGAAGGGCATGGGGCTGAACCCTCTAAATAGGACAATGGATGGCAAGACAGTGGGGTGAGGTGGGAGGGATGAATGAAACTCAAGATCGATGGAAAAGCGATGAAAAGCTACGATTTTACTAAATGGTAACACATGCCTTTAATACTAGCACTGGAGAGGCAGAGGCAGGCGTATTTCTGTGCGTCTGAAGCCAGGCTGGTCTACACAGTGAGCTCCAGGACAGCCAGGACTAAAGAGGTGTGAATGTGTGCGCTCTCCATGGATGAATAATCCGAGGAGCCATGGATTATTAAATAAAAATTCTAGCACCAGGTGTGGTTCTCCTGAACAGCGGAGGCTACTGACATTTCTCTTGGTTGTCCAGACATGATGCTAGGACCCGGCTGCTGAGACAGTGCAGAGTTTGGCCACAGAGCACAGAGAAATCAAGCCAGCACTGAGCTGGAAGCATCCTTCCCACTGGCTAGCCTCATAGTGTCGGGAAGCACTGTGGAGGCCACTGGGGAAAAGCCATCAGCATCTACTTAGACACGGATCCCACGAGCTACAAGGGCCTGCCAGGGAAGGTGAGTCTGCAGCTGCAATGGGGGCAACCAGCCTCCTTCTGCTTGAAATGCAGGTCCATGCCACATACTGCTAGGGTCTATAAACTTGATCAAGAGTGTTCACAGGTCCCAGGGAAAAACCTGCGTCTTGCTTAGCTAGACCGAGTGGCCAGACCGCCTTCTGAATCTTCATGTTTATACTCGCATGTTGGTGCTGAGCCCGGCTATGGTCAGGGAAGTTTCTTACTGCAGCGGGTGGTGACGAACACAGAAATTCCTAAATGGCCGAAGTATCTGGGTAAGAAAACTCTAATTGAGGGGCTGGGGCGACGGCTCAGTTGTTAAGAGCAATTGTTGCTCTGCTATTGTATCCAGGTTCGATTCTGGCACCCGCATGGGAACTACTGTTTCCAACTCCAGTCCCAGGGAACACGAAAACCTCTTCTTTTTTTAGAAATCTTTTTTTTTAATGACTTTTTTGGTTTTTTTTTAAAATAATTTATTTAATTTTTTGTTTTATGTGCATTTGTGTGAAGGTGTCAGATCCCTTGAAATTGGCACTAGACAGCTGTGAGCTGCCATGTGGGTGCTGGGAATTGAACCCAGGTCCTTTGGAAGAGCAGGCAGCGCTCTCAACCACTGAGCCGTCTCTCCAGCCCCCTGGCAACCGGCATACATATGAAGCACAGACAAACATGCAGGCAAAACACCCATACACATAAAATGGTTTCTTTCTTCCTTCCTTCCTTTCTTTTTTTTAGTTTAAAAAAAAAAAGAAAAGAGAAATTCCTTTTTATTAAATTCCCTGGGCCTCACACAAAAAGAAAAGATGAAAGTTGGAGGGGGGGGAGGTTATTGAGAAGGAGTCTAGTGGAAGAAGGAGGGAATGAGGGAGGAGGAGTTGGAGGTGAGGTGAAAAATGAGTAAAATCCATTATATAAATGTATGAAATGGACAAAGAAACAAAAATTAAGCTCATCAAATATTAGTTCTGGAAAATCAACTGTAGCTATGGATCTTTCTGTCCTTCCCATAGCCACCTAGAAATAACAGCAATCACAGGATATCCTGCATTCAGAGGGAGCAAGGTAAAGAAATGAAGGATGTCTGTTATTAGCTTGATGTGAGAAGGTATCACGAATCCTGATCATAAGGCTAAAGAAGCATTCATAAACAGATTACTTCTAGAGTATAAAGCAGTAATTATGGAAGCGACAAGCCAACTCCCTAAACCCAACAGAAAGCAGTGTCCATTCCAGCTGCCCATACACACACAAACACACACACACACACACACACACACACACACACAATTCCAGGCTGAGAAACTTGTCATGTGAGACAGTTAAAGCCCCGAGGAATTCCTCCCTAGAGCCAGGCTCGTGGAGTAGCTACATGGACTTGAGCTCGGAGAGCGATTCAGGAACTCTGCATCACCCTTCTCATTCACAATTTACCACCATGAAGGAAAGCTCAAGTCGCTTAGGTTTAATGACGTCGTTCTTACCGTAGAGACATCATTTCTCTCCCAGAGAAGACTGCACAGGCAGATAATCAGGCCACCCCCGCCCTTCACAAAACAGATATCAATAATAAAAATAGCAAAATGCTTTATGTTAATGGTCAAACATCGGTCTTTCGGGTCCAAAGGTCTCTGTAACCAGGAAGAGCAGACTGATCAAAAAAAAAAAAGAACTGGGCAACTGATACTGCTTTGACCCAAGTTTTCTGAGAACTATCTTTCCTTAAAGAATAGAATTAACCTTTGCCAAGATCTACAGGGCAGAAAGCATTTCAGCTGAACTTCACTTTTCCTGTGAGGGTCATAACAGTGTTTCTGAATCTGCAGCAAATTACCTCCTTTTTCCTGTCCCTGCACAAGCACACACAACTGGGAATGGATCTTGGCAGAAATGCCTTGTATGGAAGCAGGCCGCTGGCTTACTGACTGAACGCTCCGTACAAAGCTAAGATTTCAATTCTTAATACGAGTTCGGTGTTGAGGGAAAGACAGGACAGTCACGCACTCACATTCTCGGGCCAACCTTAAGAGAGACTCATTTCTAATCCTGTCCTGGCCCAGAGCAGACAGCTTTGGAAGCCTTAAGACCACACGCTGCCCAGAACCCTGTTGGGTGGTAACAATGCGGGGGGGGGGGGGGGGGGGGGGCTGGTTCCAAGTTCTGAGATGAACGCACTATTCCACAGCCCTTTGGACAAACCATTACTGTTTCTAACTTCCTGGTCTCTTTGTAGGTTGACTTTTAGTGTCCCCAGAGATTTAGGACAGGCGTGGGCCAGACTGTGACGGAAAAGGAATACGTACAGTTACTGTGCGCGGGTTCCACAGTCAGATGGACCCCATGGGGGTCGCTTTTCCCCCTAGCTCTGCGCTAGGGCACAATAGGACATCTTATGTCTAAATACTCTGCCTTCTTCCCTAGCTTGCACCGCTTGGCCCAGCCTGTCTCCCTGACCTCCACACACACACCGTCAGAAGATGCGGTCCCAACAGCCCGCTGCAGTACCCCCAGAGCCCGAGGATGACGTTGCATTAATGGCACTTGGCAGAAAATCCCATCCTACTCTGAACTGCTCGGGGTTCAACCCAGTAGAGAAATAAACGAGAACGCAAGAGAGGAGGCAGCAGAAATCTGAGCCTGCCCTTCCCGCAGAAAAGAGGCATGGAGATGTCGGGAGTTGGAGAAAGGCATCTATCATCTCTTGCCAGAAGGCCACCAGCCCCCACCGCTTGGGAGCCGCAGTATCTCTTGTTTCTCGTCGGGACTGAAGTGTAGGATGGTGAGGATGGCCGTCAGCGTCTGCTGGCGGCCCAGGCTGTCCGGCAAGGTCAGGAAGCGGTAGATGATGTTTTTCAGGTACTCCAGGTTGGCTCCTTCCCTGCTCTGGTCCCTGGCGTTCTTCTCGATGTGGCTCTGAAGGGCTCCAACCTCCTCTCGGTGCCGCTCCTCCTCCTCCAGCAGCCTCTCCCGCAGCTGATGGGCCTCCACTTCCAGCCTGCGCTTCTGCTTCCTCAGTGATGTGATCTCCACCTCCTTCCGGGCCAGCTGCTCGGCATACAGGAAGAAAGTGGGCTCGTTGGCCGCCGCGAGCTGCAAGGCTTGGGTCAAGCTATCTGCGGAGGACGCGTCAGCTGGGTCCCCCGGACCTCCGGCAGCCACCCCGCCCACGGGGCTTCTGCGTCCCGGCAAGCCGGAGGACAAGGCCACAGAGCGCAGTTGCTCCAGCTCCAAGTCCTTCTCGGCCAGCACGGCCAGGGCCCGGTCCCGCTGCTTGTGCAGCTCCTCCTCCAGCTTCAGCGTGCGGTCCCGGAAGTCCAGCTGGCAGCGCTCCAGCTCCTGCCGGTGCTGCTGCTGCAGCCGGGCCAGCTCCTGCTGCCAGCCCTCGGCCTCCTGCTGGTGCTGGCACTGCAGCTCCTCGCAGGACAGCCTCAGCGAGATGTACTTCTCCTTCAGCTCGGCCAGCTGCTCCTGCGCTGCCTCCAGCTCCTTCACCAGCGTCCCGTCCTTGGTGTTCTTGCTCTTGAGCACCACCTGGGCCCTCATCTTATAACGCTCGAACTCCTCCTTCAGTTGCTTTAGCTCCTGTTGGTAGTAGAGCGCAGTGGCCTTCTCCCCGTCGGCGGCCTCGGAGTTGGACAGTATCTCGGGGTCACAGAGCTTCTCCACATCCAGGGTCACCTGACTCTTCCTAGCTGCGACCTGCAGGAGCCTCTTGAGCTTCTCCATCTTGTCCTTCAAGACATTGACGTCCAGACTGGACTCGTCTCCGTGGACGTCGAGGGAGGAGCGGCTAGAGGCTGCGAGGGCCAGCGTCTTGTTTTCCAGGTCCAGCTGCAAAATTCGATCTTTGAGCTTCTGGATGGCCAGCTGGTCTTTCTGTTTGGCCTTCTCATAGGTGCCCAGCAGCTCAGACACCTCGGAGATTTGATTCTCCAGGGCTGCCACCCTCTGCTCTTCCACCTGAGCCTGCTGCCGAAGCTGGTCCTCTACAAGGGCTGTCTGCAAAGCAAAGAACAGGTGACCGTGCATCCAGAAAAATAACAAAACCCTACAGTCAGCTGGGTGTGGAGGAGCAAGACAGAGGTGAAAGGGCACGGGACTGGGATGGCCTGGAACAAGTGGGAACTGGGTTTGTTTTAGCTGAAGTTCCTTGGGATATGTGCTCTTTTCTACAAGAGCCTTCCATCTTTCATTGCGATTAAATACAAAGTACATTCCTGTCAATTATGCGCTTTGCGGGTAACATTCTTTCCCTTTCCCAGTGCCCCTGGAAATGCAAAACCAACTTGGAATCCTCTCTTTGTAGAAAGGGAATGCCACAAAGCAGGTTTATAGGAAATGCTATAAAGCAGTTATAACACAGGCAAACCTCAGCTGAAGGCATACACAGACATCCCTTCCGGGAAAAATCCCCTTCGCTTCCTTCAGTCACTCTACCTGTAAGCACACACTTCTCAGGATACACACGACTGACTTTTCACTGCACGGCTGTTACTATATTGCCTCAACAATACAACTTGCAAGTTACCAACAGCTGGAGGCTTAGACAGAGCTGTCTGGCTTCCACCCAGAACACTAAGAAGGACACTACACAAAACAAGATTTCGTAGGACTCAGTAGTGGAATTTTCCCGTTGGCATCAACACATCAGCGTGCGTGTTGGGAACTCGGAACCTGCCTGCAATGCCAACGCTCAAGAGGCTAACAGGCAGCAGGAAATCCTTGACAAGAGAAACACCCTGCTTAGGCGGGGAGAGGGACGCCTTTAATCCTAGCACTTGGTAGGAAAAGGCAGGCAGATCTTTGGGAGGTTAAGGCCAGACTGGTTTACATGGTAAGACCCTGCCTGCCTCATGAAACACACACACACACACACACACACACACACACACACACACGTTATCTATTCTAATGACCAAAAGAGAAAAATAATAAATCTAATATTTCCTAGGTTAGTTGGAATGACTGTCCAAAGCCTGTGAGGATAATTACCTTCCTCATTTCTTGCTGAAGTTGGGCCTGGAAATGGCTTTTAAGACGGACGGCCTCTTGCTGAAGTTCTTGCAGCCGGGGATCTGGTCGATTCTTCTCATCTCGAACGGCCTGCAGCTCACCTCGCAGCTCCTCTACCTCTCGGGTAAGCTGCTTGGTCTGCAGTTCAAACCCTTCTATCTGCTCCACTGCGTAAGCCCGCCCTGCCAAGGCCTCTCTGGTCTCTTCTAAGCGAAGTTCCAGCTCCTGGCGCTGGGTCCTCTCCTCCTGCAACAGCTTCTGTAGCTCCCGCAGCATCACGGCGTGGTCACCCTGTTCCTGGGCACGGTCGTGCTGCTGCGTAATGAGCCGGGCTTTGGTTTCTGCGACCTGCTCCTGCAGACCCTTCAGTTCAGCCTCCAGACGGCCCCTCTCCTCCTCCGCCTTCTTATTGGCATCCTCTAAGTCCTGTTTCATCTTCTTCTTATCGGCGAGGTAAGAGGCCTCCATACGGGACTTCTCCTGGGTGACTGTGGCCAGGGAGCTGGTCAAGGTAGCCAGCTGAGTCTTCAGCTGGTGCAGCCTCTTGTCCATCTCACTACCCGCAGACGGCCCATCCCCACTGCTGCTACTCACGCCACTCTCCGACCCGCTGGCTTCTTCGGACTTTGGAGGAAGGGGCCCACGGGCCACTCTGTCTTCTTCGACCCCAAACTCACCCTTGATACTCGTGAGACTGGCTGCAGTGTCCAAGCTAGTGGCAGTTCCAGTACTATCCTCACTGTGAGTGGAGCACCGGTCATCCACGGAGTCAGGAAACGTGAGGCCTGACGGCTGCACACCTGCGAGGCTCACATCCGCCTCGTGGGATACCGACAGCACCTTGATGCTGGCCTCCAGGGCCTCCTTCTCCTTCAGCAGGCTTTTATAGGCACGGACCACGTCCTTGAGCCTTGCCTGGTACTGGAGAAGCTGCTTTTTCTGTGTTTCTATGGTCTCCAGGAGGTCCTTCTTGCTTGGGCCACCCCCAAAATTCATTCCAAACTTCTCCATGGGGTTTCTGGAGTGCGCTGCTCCACGTCAGCGCCGCGGCAGCCCCGGACAGAGCCACAAAAGCAGCCAGAAGTGAAGCAGATTGGATCGTCTGGCCACAGGCAGCACACTGGTCCAGCCAGCTGTCCGGGCGGGATGAGGGGACACGCTGGCCAAGCAAAAGGCGGGGTGACGGTGGCCCAGCAGGAGCACTCAGCCACGGCTCTCCAGTACTGGCCCAGAGGCTGCTCCGCCCTAAGCGCTCCGCTGGCCACCGCAACCTGGGCCCGCCCCTCTCGGCCCAGCATCAGCCCAGGGTTTACTCTATGCTCGGTTCCGTCACGATTTCCTAACTCTGGCGGTTCACAGCAGCGCTTCCGGGTCCACTGGAAGTGACGGGAGCAAAACGCCACAGACCCCGCCCCCAGCGGGCGCAAGGTGGGCGGGGCCTCAGCAGGCAGGGCGAGCTGGGGGCTTGGAACGGAAGTACCCGCAGCGGGAGTTGGGAAAAGCAAAGTCCCACACCTGGGCGGTGGTTCGGAGACGCCTAACTATGCCCTCAGGCTACCGCCAGTGAGCGACAGGGGGCGACGTCGTACTGCATTTGCCCTAAAAACCCCGACGAAAGAGGCGTCCAACTATTTGGGGCCATGTCCAACATGTCCTTAAAAAGCAACAGTTAGGACTCGTACTAGAAAACGAGCCCGGCACCTCGTTAACATAAAGCGTCCTAGTTCCCTTCCTCGGTTCTGCTTATACAGCTATAAGGTCCACCTTGATTACCAGCCTATGGGGGCGGGGAGGAGGGGCTCGCACAAGAGTTTCTGCTTATTTAGTCTTTGCAAAATTCTTTTCAGAGGGTATCAGCACCGCCAACAGTCATAGGAACATGCAATACCTGTGCGGTGTCACTCAGCTACTCAGTTTAGGAATGCTACCTCGGTCCGCCTCTCAAAACACTATGTGCTATCAACATCATGTAAACAAACGTAAGGCCTTGCCCCCAAGAAACGTGTCTGCAAGGAGGCAGACATGCAAACAGGCAGCTCCTGCCCTCATACTAGTACATGTGGGTATAGTCTAAGTGATACAGAAGAGACGGTGCGGCCTTCAGAAGGACAGGCTCTCGGGGGAAACACTTTGGAGGCTGAAGAATGGGAAGAGACGGCCAGGCTGGATGCAGGCGTGGGAGAGAAGCATCAAGGGAGGTGGAAAAGTTTACAAGGCTCGCTTTCCGGGGTATCCGGGAGTCTGACTTGCCCAGGGAGCTTTAGGAATCAATCCTAATCAGTTTAGGTCGCGGAAGAGGAGTGGCGACCGATGAGGCTGAAACAAACGGTAGGACCCGACTGAAAGGCTTTTAGGTTTCATCTTGGGTGACCAGACATTAAAAGATTTTAATCGCACAAGGACACCACCAAGACTTGTGGGGCCTCTGAGATGGCTCAGCAGTAAAGGCACTCTCCACCAAAGACCCGATATGAGTTACAGCACCAGGACAAATCTCCACAGGTTGTCCTCCGACCTCCACACACACCCCACACAAACAAGAAATAAAAGTGGGGAGGGCTAAGAAAAAAAAAAAAAAGGCTCCTTTGACACTGTGAAGATAAAAGGGAGCAGAAAGTCTGAGGAGGCTCTCTCAGAGAGCGCGTAGTGAAATAGGGACAACAGGGATGAAGAAAGTGTATCTGTACTAAGAAATCTACTCGGGATGCCAAGGCAGCAGCATGTCTGTGAGTTCGAGACTAGCCTGGTCGACACAGCAAGCTCCAGGCCACCCAAGGCTACATAGTGACATGATGGACACGGTGTCTCAAAACAAAAGAGAGTAAGCTCCTTGGAGAACCTTTGGAAAGGACTTCCCGGCCCCGTCAAAGCCTTCTTGGAAATGCAAGCCGACGACTGAAGAGCATGCAGTCACTGGAGACCCGGGTCAACTCCTGCAAGCCTTCCCTGGGAGGGCTGCCAGGCCTCGCTGGGCTTCAGTTCTTCCGCATACGCGCCTGGGGGCGGGACTGGGCGGGCTGGAGGGGCGGGGCCACGTGACGTCGGGCGGGCCCGGACGCGCGGAGGCGGTGGCGGCGGCGGCGCCTCCTCCTTCTGCTGTTGCGCCCCATCCCCCCGCGGCCGGCCGGTTCCAGCCCTCACCCCGCGTCCCCTGCCCGCGCCCCCGCCCCGGGCCCCACCATGGGCCTCACGGTGTCCGCGCTCTTTTCGCGGATCTTCGGGAAGAAGCAGATGCGGATCCTGATGGGTGAGGCACATCGAGCGCGCGGCCCGGATGGGGCGCCGGCCCCGCCGCAGCCCTCCCGCCTCCGCGTTCCTCCGGGCCCCCTTCACCCGGTACCCCGATCCCGAGACACCCCACCTCCAGAGCCTCTGGGGGCGCGCTCCCGTGCAGGCCGGGATCCGTAGTGTCGGCCTCGGGCCTGAAACCCGGAGCTGGGGCCTGGGTGGGGTGACGCTTCCTCCGCCCCAGCCGGGCTGCTGAGAAGGGAGGATTCCGCCCTTGGAAACGACTTTTCAAAGGGACGCGGCCTTCCTCCCGGGCCCCCTACCTCCCAAGCCCCTCTCGCCCCTCGGCCACTTGAGGGGCAGGAGTTGGCACTCGCCACCCAGGCTGCCCTCGAGGCCCGGAAGGTGGAGAACAGCGCGCACCTGGAGGCGCTCCGGCTCTCCGCCCCCGTCACCATCAGCTGGCCAGGCCTCTCGCTTTCCCTGGTCTCTAGGGGGCTCCCTAGCCTCCGTTGCCATTCTGTGTCCCTCTCCGTTGCAGTTGGCTTGGATGCGGCTGGCAAGACTACCATCCTGTACAAACTGAAGTTGGGGGAGATTGTCACCACCATCCCCACCATAGGTGAGTCTGGGCAGCGGCAGTGGGGACGTCGCTTCGGGCCTTCCCGGTTCAGCCGAGGCCCTTGTTTGTTCCTGACCCTGACACCAGATAAGGCCACTTGAGAAGTAGGTCACGGTATCTCTACGAGCCTGATGGTGCCTGGGGCGTGGACCATGAGCCTAGCATATCTGTTGACCTCTGGATTCCATTCCCCTTGGCCTTGGTGGTCATTGCCTTCTGGGTTTGTGTGCCTGCAGGGATCCGAGTGGTTTTAATGAGTTTCTCTCAGGATCTTTTTTTTTTTCTCTCTCTCTCCTTAAAATTATCTGCAGGCTTCAATGTGGAAACAGTGGAATATAAGAACATCTGTTTCACAGTCTGGGATGTCGGAGGCCAGGACAAGATTCGGCCTTTGTGGCGGCACTACTTCCAGAACACTCAGGTGGAGTGAGCATGGAGGTGGAGGGACAGCCTATGGGAGAGGGTGTTAGACCCAGACTGCGCTGTTGGCCGAATCCCGTCCCTGTCCTCTTTGTTTAGCTAGGTTTTGCTCATCCTTAGGAATTCCCCTAGCCTTGTTCTGGGAAGCAGAGTTCTAGGCCGGACTGTCTAATGTAGCTCTCAACAGCACCTCTTTCAGCATGCTCCTCCTCTTTACAGTGGTCTCTACAGTCCCCTAATAGACGTTTACTAGGATGAGAAAGGCTAGTAGAGCGCAAGGTGGGGGAAGCGACAGCAGGCCAGCTTAGGACCGCACCTAGGTGGGAGTGACCCCTTCTGCTTCCTCCCTTCCTCACCACCCAGGGCCTCATCTTCGTGGTAGACAGTAATGACCGAGAGCGGGTCCAGGAGTCTGCTGACGAGCTCCAGAAGATGGTAAGTATCCAGATCTGGGACCTGAGCCCTGATGATGGGCAGATGTTCCGTGAGGTGGCTAGAAGTCCAGCACCCTGGGGAATGTGAGCTTTTCTTCACCGCAGTGGACAAGGATTTTCTCACCCAGTTTGGACAGGACTTTTTTATTTAAATACGTTTCCATGAGTATTTTATTTTATAAAATATATAAATATATAAAATATATATTTTATAAAATATAAATGTATTTTATTTAAATACGTTTCCATTTATTTAAATACGTGAGTCTAAGGAGTTGGGAAGAGGAGGGGTTCTCTGTGGTAAAGAGAAACAGCATCTCACACTTGTTTTATTTTGTTTTCCTGTTTGAAATTCTTGTCATTTCAGCTTAGAGCAAATTCTTAAATTAGAAGGTTTTTTCCTGGAAGTAAAGTTCAGGGGTTTTGAGCTCACTTATTACTGTGTTGTGTGCAGCCATAAGCTACAGCGCGCACTGTAGCTTTGTTTTTTGAACAAAGGACCGGCAGCTAGGAAGGTGTGCTCCCCAGCTAGGAAGGTGTGCTCCCCAGTAGTGCAGTCAGCAAGGGGCCTTAGGGATCCTTGCAACCACCCTCTCCCCTCTCAGCTGCAGGAGGACGAGCTCCGGGAGGCGGTGCTGCTGGTGTTTGCCAACAAGCAGGATATGCCCAATGCCATGCCCGTGAGCGAGCTTACCGACAAGCTGGGCCTTCAGCACCTGCGTAGCCGCACGGTGAGGATCTGCCCCCTTTGTGCTGTCCAGCCTTCCCTCGGGAGCCCCGGACTGGACAGAGGTAGAAGGTATCCCTCTTCTTCCCGTGCACTGATCTCCTCCTCTCTTTCTTCCTACAGTGGTACGTCCAGGCCACCTGTGCCACCCAGGGCACAGGCCTGTATGATGGGCTGGACTGGCTGTCCCACGAGCTCTCAAAGCGCTAGCCAGCCAGGGGCAGGCCCCTGCTGCCCGGAAGCTCCCGCGTGCATCCCGGGACAAGCAGACTCCCGGACTCCTCAGGCAGTGCCCTTCTTTCCCACTCTTCCTCCCCACAGACAGGCCTCTGCTCCTGCTCCTGCCTGCATGTTCTCTCTGTCATTGGAGCCTGGAGCCTTGCTCTCTGGGCGCAGAGGGCTCTGCTCTCCTGCCTGCTGGGACCTGTGGAAGGGCTTCCTTGCCACGGCCCCCTCGTCCAGGGGAGGAGCAGGGATCTGGATTTAATTTCATTCTTTTCTGTTCTGGGTGTACCCTTGGGGCCAGGATTGGGGGGAGGAAAGTGAGGGCTCCGGGTGGTGCTATGACATGGAACTGGATATTGAGTAATAAATTTGCTGTGGTTTGTACCTGGTGTTGTCTGTGGCCTGGAAGTTGGGAAGCTGAGTTAGTCTGGGTACAGAAAGATGATACGATACGGCTCAGAGCATCTGACGCTGTACGATCACACGCTCACCCCTTTCCTCCTCAGCTTCCCCCACAGTTTCCAGGGGAGGAAGTTCCACTTCTTCCTCAGTTCTGACGATGGTTATTAAGGGCATGAAGACCTTTTTCCCTCCACAAACCACACAGTCTGTCTCCTGTCTCTTGGCTGCTTAGCAGTTCGTGGTCGTAGCTGTGCACACGGGGGAGAAGAGATATTAAAAAGATAGCTCCCAGGACACACAAGAAGTGATCGATCTGGTCAGCCCACCGGCACGCATGCTTTAAATTACCGATGGTCCAGCGCCGGTCAGCATCTGTTCGCTGAACTTCTCAAGCAGGGGAGGAGTCTTCGCTGGGAACCCCTGGACTCCAAGTGGGAAGATCTCATCTATGTGGATCAGGAAGTACACGTGGAAGGCCAGGGCTCTGGGCTGTTCTCCAAGCAAGTTCATTCCGGCTGCCTTAAACAAGACCTGCTGTCACCCCGCTTCCTTTTATGTCCCTCTTCATATTCTCAGTTCTAGGTTTTCTCCTTGAGCTCTGCAGGAAGTAGTCCAGCAGAGCCTCGTGGGGGAGGAGGGGCTGGTGTCCTCTCTGGCAGGTCTGGCCTTCTGCCCAGCTAGTTGACCTGTAACTCAGCGGGGATTGGTGAAGCACAGTGCTGGGCTTTCCTCCACCTTGGCCATTGTTTCTGAGCCTGTAAGGTTGTAAAAGTAATTTCATTCTCAATGGTTATGTATCCAGTTTCCTTGCCTTTTCAACAAAATAATTTCCAGATCATTTGACCCTGTCTTCCTAAAGTCTGTAAAACTAATAGATATTTTTTTCTCTTGGCTGACTTGAACTTTACAAAAAAAAGGCAACTTGAGTCACCGAGAGCCAAGCAGAACCCCCTTGTTAGGAAGTCAATAGGTCGATTCCTATCTTGTTAGGGAAGGGAGGGACAGATCTAGAGCTACAGGCTGCAGTACTGACTCCCAGTTTGATCCTACCTCATTACTTGGAGTTAGTCAGGAAGAAAAATGCCAAAAGCTCTGGGTCACTCCTTTGGCCCTTGGATTGGTGCTGCTAAGCCAGTGCCTTTCCGCATTGTGGCTGGACAAAAGGCAGCCTTTAGCTGACTTTACAGTCACAATGCGCACGGGTCACAAAGGTGCCGGCCCTATGCCAGACCCCTGCCTGGGATGTTTCTCGGCTTCTGGTGGGTGCTGCGGGCCTCATTCCCGGCCATATGGCCTGTAGGATCTCACCACTGGGGGGAAGCCTGGGCTGGACAAAGTCATCTCCTGTGGCACTGGCCACATGGCTGAGGTGGATTGGACACACAGACATCCAAGAGATGAGGACCTGAGGGTTGGGCTCATCAGCTGGGCAGGAAACTACCTCGCCTTTGAAGCATATAAGAATACAGTCACAGCTACTGCAAAGAATTTGGGCAGGAGACAGGTAACAAGGCAAACCTGGACTAGAGCCAGTTTTCTGAGTGGCAAGATTGTGTGTGTGTGTGTGTGTGTGTGTGTGTGTGTGTGTGTGTGTGTTGCATGTCATGTCCATCCTAAGCACTGGCACAGTCTCTTCTGTTGCCAGGCCAAGACACTTCTCCAGCAGGCTCCTGATCCCAGGTCTTCATTGCTCCGCCTTTCAGACTTGTTTTCCTAAGGTGCAGTCTCAGCGCTGGCCTGCCTGCTTCACCTTCAGTGTTTCCTACATTCCGTGCCAGCACAGCGTGCTGGTTTCATCACAAAGCGGAGACGGAGGGGGTCCAGCCTAGAAGGCAGGACCAGGGGTCCACAGGAAGGGGTACCACAGTACACGGCCCAAGTGCTTGCTGACTGCTCTCTGTTTTAAAGAGAAAATAGCAGCAAAGTCTTCTCCCATTCAACCAAGGTTTTCCCAGCGCACCTAACAATTGTCTCTAGAGTCAGGATGCCTTTCTTGATCTTCTCCTGTTGGAGAAGTGGCTTCTGCAGGGGAGGTGCTGGTATTGTACTATCCAGGGGCTGTAGGAAGAGGGAGAGACAGGAAGCGTAGAGCAAGGCTTGTTTTCTTTTAGGTAGTAAAGAATAAGGAAGGGAAAGAGGAAGGGTTAAGCTTCTCTGAGGTGATAACGTAGGATTTCTCATTGGTTTTGTGTATGTGTGTCCATACGCATGAGTGTGTGTTTGTGGTGCATATGTGGTGGTGCGCGTGTTTACGTGTGGTGTATATGTGTGCATGTGGTGCGGAGAAGGTGTTGGGGGAGGTGTGTGAGTGTGTGGTGGGTGTGGGTACAAGCCTGTGAGGTCAGAGGGCAACCTTCCAGAATGTGTTCTCTCCTTCCGCCTTGCTGAGCCAGTCTCTCGGTTTTGCTCACACTGTGCACTCCAGGCCATCAGCCGTGAGCTCACAGGAGGCTGTCCTGTCTCTGCCTCCCGTCTTACCGCAGGAGTGCTGGGCTCCTGTGCTTGCCACTGTGCCTAGCTTCTTAGCGTTGTTCCGCATTTTGAGTTACGCGCTTACTTCTGTATGTGTGTGCGTGCGCATGGTGTGCCATGGCGCACACGGGGAACTCAGAGGACTACTTGCAGGTCTCAGCTCTTTCCTTCACGTGGCAGCCGGGGATCAAACTCCGGTCATCAGGCAGCAGGTGCCTTTACACAGTGAGTCATCTCACCAGACTGCAGCGAGTTTTGTTTTGTTTTTTAAGATTTATTTAGTCTGTGTACAGTGTCCTGTCTGCATGTACACCTGCATGCCAGAAGAGGGCAGCAGATCTCACTGTAGATGGTTGTGAGCCAGCATGTGGCTGCTGGGCATTGAACTCAGGTTCTCTGGAAGAGCAGACAGTGCTCTTTACCTCTGAGCCATCTCTCCAACCCTGCATCTAGCTTTTTAAATGTGGCTTCCAGAGACAGACCTCAGGCTGTCAGGGTTTTGGGGCTAAGCTGTCTCTTTCACTCCTGTGGCTCTAGAGGTGGGGAGCCCCCAAATCTTTTATCTTGTTCTGCTCTGAGTCAGGTTACACTGCAACACTGAGGGAAGTGAGGGCCACAGAGAAGCAGTGCTTATCGGCTTCTTCCCCACGGCTTGCCCAGGTTGATTGCTTATACCATCCAGGACATTTGCCCAGGGGTGACACTGTCCACTTCCACTGATGAAGTTCCAGTGGGCTGGCTGTGTACCCCTAGCTGATTTAGAACTGGCTCTGCAAACCAGGCTGGCCTTGGACTCAGCAAGATCCACCTGCCTTTGCCTCCTGCGTGCTGGAATTAAAGGCATGCACCGCCACCAGCAGCCCAGAAATCTTTTCATTCGTGTTAACTGGGCAAGAAAGCGTTCATATCAAGGAGATGCCAAGGCAGATGTGCCAGGGCGGGTGACTGCTCTTGTCGGAGGGCCAGTGGCGAGAGGGGGCGAGGTTTCGGTTGCTGACTTGGCAGTGCTTATCTCCCTTCTCTTCCTCAAACCTCCAGACCTGGGAGCTTCTAGTGAGCAACGAACAGGAGACGCAGGCAGTGGTGCGACTAAAGAGCTTGCAGGGCCTCTACCTGCTGTGCGAGGCAGATGGCTCTGTGTGCTATGGCAAGCCGAAGACCAGCCACCACGGATGCTTCCTTCTCCGTTTCCACCGAAATGGCAAATGGACCTTCCAGTGCATAATTTCCGGCCGCTATCTGGAGTCTGACGGCGAGGATGTATTCTGCAACTCCAGGGTTCTCTCAGCGTACCACATGTGGACGCCCAGGCCAGCCCTGCACGTCCACGTGATGCTCTACAGCCCGGTCTACCACAGCTACGCCCGAGCTGACCACTCCGTGGGCAGGGTCTGGATGGACGCAGGAGTCCCTTGCCTGGAGGAGTGTGGTTTTGTGTTACATTTCCAAGACGGATACTACCACCTGGAGACTTCTACACACCATTTCCTGTCTCACGTAGACCGGCTGGTCTCCCAGCGCTCATCAAAGACAGCTTTTCACATGCAAGTGCGGCCTAGAGGGCTTGTGGCGCTGTGTGATGGAGAAGGAGGCTCGCTGTATCCGCAGGGTTCACATCTCCTCCTGGGCCTGGGCTCCAGTCCCGTGAGTGGTGAGGAGTGGTTCATTCTGCAACACTTTCCAACCTGGGTCAGCCTGAGGTCAAAGAATCGGAGGTTTATCTCAGTCATCTACGGCAAGTGCTGGGTCCAATACCACCATGCGTGTGCGTGTGCGTGTGCGTGCGCGTGTGTGTGTGTGTGCGTGTGCGTGCGCGTGCGCGTGCGCGTGCGTGTGCGTGTGCGTGTGCGTGTGTGTGTGTGTGTTGGTGGGGGTAGGTGCTAAAAGAAGAAATCTCGTTCAGGATGTGTCTTAGTTTCTTTCAGTTACGGTGATAAACGCCATGCCCAGAAGCAGCTTGGGAGGAAAAGAGTTTGAGGGTCTTTTTTGTTCTTTTGTTTTAGAGTGTCTTGTTTTTGACTCACACTGAGGGAATTGGGGGCAGGAGCTCAACCACAGAGAAATGGTGCTTGTGGGCTTGCTCCCCGTGGCTCCCCGATGGCTTTCTTACACCATCCAGGAACATTTGCCCAGGGTCGGCACTGCCGGCATGGGGCCGGGCCCCGGGCCCTTCCATGTCGGTTATTAATCCAGAAAATGCTCGCAGCAGAGTTGCTTACAGGAAATCTGATGGAGGCAACCCCTCAGTTAAGAGTCCCTATTTGTGGGGACTCCAGCTTGTGCTGAGTCAGCAGAATACTAACTGGCACAGGACAGGCAAGAAATTTTGAGCCTAGTCCTAAGAAAGATCCTGGGACCCCAGAGAGACAGCTTGTGAGTCAGCTGAAGAGATGGCTTTAAGGGAGGGTCACCTGGGCTTGGCCAGAGTATTATGGTCCCGCACAAGGCTGAGGAAGGGAAACCCACCAGCAAGCATGGAGAAGGGCCCCAGACTGAGCTAACATGGCACCTGTACCCTTTCCCTCCAGACGCCGAGGTGTGCGCTGCCTCTGAGCGCCTGACCCCAATGTCGTTGTTCCAGTATGAATGTGACCGTGAGAACGTTAACTTACAGCTTCGTTCAACCAACGGCTACTACCTCGCTCAGGTGAGGCTTTGGTCTTCCATGCAGAGAATTGTAGACTCCGAGCGCTCCCTGTGCAGACACAGTTTCTCTTCCACAGTGTGCATGGCCAGATAAGATTAGCTGGGCTGTAGAGCCCAACCCAGTAGACACTCATCTTTACCAGCGAGCCTTCTTTTCTTACAATGAAAATATAATTTTAATAAGGCATAATTAAAACATGTAATTTGTTATACATGTAGTATACATTATATGTTGAGTATAATATATGACTAATATAAGTTATGAATGGTATAAGTTTCTTGGATAAATTGACCTACTTTAAGTGTAAAAATTCAATATACTTCAACAAATGTACATAACCATGAAACCATGCTGTCACCATACCACAAGTTTCAGAGGCGTTCTGTCACCATACAAATTCCCGACTACCTCTTCACAGTCTTCCTCTAGCCTTAGCCTTCTCACACCACTGGCGTGTGTTTGTTCTGCCATTATAGATTAGATTTGCCTGCCCCGGAATTTCACCTGGGTGTAGCCCTATGGCATATGTACGATACAAACTTCTTTAGGAGACAGAGCTCACTGTGGCTTTTACCAAGACCTACCCGTGTCACTGCACGTGGCGGTAGTTCCTCAGCTGCCCGATACTCTGTCTTACCACTGTAAGCATCGTCTGTTTATCCGTTCAGTTGTCCAACAGTTGGGTTCTTTACAGTTTGGTTTCTTATGAATAAAGTTGCTGTGAACATTTGTGTAGAAGTCCTTCACAGGCTTTTATTTTTTATATATCTTAGAGAGACACCTAGGAGTGGAACTCCTGAGTCACACGATAGATGTGCATTTCATGTGTCAAGAAAGTGTCAAACGGTTTTCAGCTGGCTGTGATGCCTGGAAACCCTGCACTTGGGAGGTAGAAGCAAGTAGATCAAGACAGGTGGATCAAGAGTTCAAGTCAAACCTTGGTTATATATCGAGTTTTAGGCCAACCTAATTAAATAACAAATCCTAATGAAAGAAAAATCAGGACAGAAAATATCAGTTTTCTGAAGTGACTATAGACTTTTCCATTCTTCCGGCAGGGTGGGAGGGCTCTACTTGTTGCCTAACCTCATCAGCACTTAGTAGTGCCTATCTTTTTCATTGTGGCTACTCCAGTGGCTGCGGAACATCTTACTGTGCTTCAGTTTGTGTTTATATTATTTATAAGTGGTTTATCTAAGCATCTCTTCAATATCTGTTTGCTAATTGGATGTCTTTTTTGCTAGGTGTCTTCCAATTTTTGCCCACTTATTACTGGAACTGTGGTCTTATAACTGAATTGTATGAGATCATCATATGTTCTAGAGCGAAGTCCTTTGCCCAGTCTATGTACTGCACGTGCTTTCTCCAGTCTGTGCCTTGCCTTTGCATTTCTCACCTGTTTATTTATTATTTGGTTGGTTGGTTGGTTAGTTTTGGTTGTTTTGAGATGTAACTCTGGCTATCCTAGAACTCACTATTTAGACAAATCTGCTAGGATGAAAGGCCTATACCACCACACCCAGACCCTTTGCAAATTTTACGACTTTTTTTTAAACAGGGTTGTTCTTTTTGTTTTAATTCACAAAGTCCAGTTCACCACATGTTTAATGCTGAATCCTTTTCCATCCCAGTAAATCACTGTTCAAGCCCAGAGCTGCAAAGGGTTTCTCTCAGGTCTTCTAGATGTTTATAACTTTTCACTTTAAACATTTGAAAATTATTTTGGATTTGGGGTGAAAGTTTATTTCTCTTCTTATAATATCCCATTTTTTAATGCTTTTTAACCGGCTTACACAGCAGAGTGATGGAAATAGGAGAGCTGAGGTCACAACAGTATTTTTGTGGAGATATTTTTTTTTTCTTTTATTACCTTACAAAGAGGTTTTTCAAGCATAAAGCATACTCTAGAAAATTACAGAGGCCGGGGAGGGAGAGGGAGAGGAAATGGGAATGGGGTCCAGGACTAAAGTTGACGTATAAGAAGCTGGGGTTGTCGTCCTTACTCCTGGTTCCTGGTCCCCTCGTTCTCTCCAGAGGCGCCACAGGGCAATCATCGCGGACGGGCACCCCGTGGAATCTGAAACCTCCTTCCGTGCACACTGGAATTGTGGGAAAATCATCCTGCAGGCCTCCAATGGGTGTTTCCTGAGCATTGCATCCAACGGCCTGCTGATGGCAAGTGCCACCACTCCAGGTGAACCAAGAGCCACCACCCTCCCGGGCTAAGACACTACAACTTTTAAATTTGTATTTGTTACTGTTGCATAGCAGAGAGCGAGAATGGTTACAGAGGTCAGACCCAGAGGGCGACCCTGGGGAATCAGGTCTCTTGGTTTCCCCACTTCACTGTGGGCTCCGGGGATGAGGCTGGGTCGGGTCGTTAGGCGTCTGCGGCAAGTGTTTTCACCCGCTGGACCATTTTTTAAAAAGGTATTGGAAGCACTGAGTTGAGATCAAGAGCTGAGGGCGTGTGTATCTGTTCTGTTGCTGTGTGCTTGGAACAGAGCCTCTTTGAATTTAAGTGTTAAAGTCTGTGACGAATGATTCTGTTCTATTGCTTCACAGGTTGAGGTGGGGATTAAGTAAATTAATACATTTCACAGAAAAGAGAGTATTTAACTTTCTGCGCTCCAAGCCGTGCTGGGTGCCCTTCCCATCATTTCACAAGCACCTAGTAAGACCTGGCCCCTAACAGGTGCTTCTGCGGATAACCCCTCCCTGTCTCTTTCAGGCTCAAATGAGGAGCTGGGGATTCGGTTTGCCAACCGCTCCTTTCTCCTCCTGCGCGGCCGGTATGGGTACGTGGGCTCCTGCTCAGACCGTGACCTGATGCAGTGCGACAGGGATCAGCCTGACTGCATTCAGCTGTTGCCCTGCCACCAGGGCATCTATCACTTCCAGGGTGAGTGGTCCCTCGTCCTGCCCAGCCTCAGCCCCAGGCCAGCCTCAGGATCCGCTCTCCTGGCACCACTCCTCCCGAGAAGGGAAACAGGTTTCAGTTTTTCAGACGTCAAGGCTCTAGAGTGGGTTTAGCAGAAAAAGGTTTGGTGAGGTTCCCACTGGTCCATCTCTATGAAGAACCTGCCCTGCAGACAGGATGTGATGGGTGGGGCGGGGGAGGGGGGGGAAGGATATGCTTCCGAATGGCCAACCAACCTGAGCTCTTCCCTTTCCAGCACAGGGTGGTTCCTTCTGGTCGATAACGTCCTTCGGCACCTTCCGCCCCTGGGGAAAGTTTGCCCTCAACTTCTGTATAGAACTTCAAGGAAGCAACTTGCTCACGGTGCTGGCACCCAACGGTTTCTACATCCGGGCAGACCGGAGTGGCACACTATTGGCAGACAGCGAAACCATTACAAAAGAATGTATCTGGGAATTTTAGGTAAGAGAGAGCCACGCCGAGTCAGGGAAGCGGCGCTGAGGCGCTGAGGAGGCTGGGGAGGAGGCTTGTCATGCAAAGCCACCATGCAGGAGTGTGCGGTACAGATGATCGACAATTTCCAGGCGTTTGTTCCAAATCTGCACCTTTCCTTCCAGGCTTCTAAATCTGGTCTTGCTAGAGAGGAAGAGAAGCATCGTGTCCGAACTTCTCGGTATTATGCTGCACTGACTTGTGGGCCTGCAAGCACGCCTGTGCAAACCTATGTCTCCAAGATTCAGAGTTTTCCCCCATTTGGGGGAAAAAACAGGTGGCTTTGAGGATGTATGTAGATAAGGAGAGGTATTTCCAGCCTTACCCCCTTGGCTTCTCTCCAGCCCTGAATCTTCTCTGAAATAACATCCTTTCCCCCCAGCTTCCTAACGGAACGGTGACTTGATTTCAACCTTCCGCTCCTCACAACCAGCATGGCTGGGTCCCTGCCACGGTCTCCCTTCCAAGGTGATTCTTTCTGCCATTTCTTCCTTCCCAGCTGGATCACCACTGTCCTTCTGGATGGTCAGGGCCAGAGCTGTGCAAATTCTTGAGCCCTTCCTTAAGGATGCTTCTTGAGTGCACTGGGCCTTATAATTAAATCGGCAGTATCGGTGCCGCTGTAACTGGCCCTTGGTCACAATCCCTGTCCCCAGCTTTCCTCCCCATCCAATCCCTTCCGCACCAAGCCTGTTCTAACATGCTACCTCTGTTTCACCAGTCTCCAGGATCCTTGTTCTTAATCCTGACCTCTTACGAGCCCTGTCTTCCTGGTCTGGAAAGTCAAATGAACATCTTAGAGAGTACTTCAGGTTTGTTTGTTGTTGCTACTATTGTCGTCATATAGTCCAGGCTGGCTTTCAGCTTACTCTGTAGTCGGGATGACTTTGAATCAGGATCCCCCTGCCTCAACTCCTGAGCACTGTGCACACTCAGCCGTGCCTGGTCCTATGTGGTATGGGAGACGGAAGCCAGGGTTTCATGCACGAAAGGCAGTTATTCTTCCAGCCGGTACCTTAGGGAGACCACTTTCACATTTGAAGACCTTCGTGTCCTTGTACATAGCATAGAAATAACCTATTTCATAGGTATTATCAAGGCTGGAAGTCAGTTAAAAACAGCTATCTATATAGACCCTACACATATGTTCAGTCTTCTCCCCATATTCTCTACACAGCCGCCTTACTGTGCTGTGAAAAATAAAATGAAATCCCATCAGGCTTCAGCTTTCTTATCTATGTCATGAAGAGCTTGGTCTGACGTAAATTTCCCAGGCTCCTTCCAAGCCCCACATTCTAGTAGACAATGTTCTATAGTGTATAAAAGCTCAGTTCTAGATGCCTCAAATCTGTCCTGTGAAACAAGAATATGGAGGGGATGGTGAGGATTACGTGAGATGGTGAATGCTCTGAGAGACGGCATCCATCTTCCGCATCCTCGTTCTATCACAAGTCGATAACTCATTTCAACTCCTTAGTAAACAGGTACTTGTATGTAACACATGGGAGACCCTGGGTTCGATGCCAGCACTAAAACAAGACAAAACAAACGCACAAAAAGAGAGTTCTTTTTTCCCCTTTTATTTATTTAATCACTTCACTGCCCGATCCTCGAGCGCCCTCCTCTCCTCACAGTACCATCCTCATAGTCCCTCCCCACAGCAGCCCCCTCTCCTCCTCCTCATAGAAAGGGAGCCGCCCCACCCCCCGCCCCCGTAGCTGCCAACTCACCCCAGCACCTCAAGTCACAGCAGGACTAAGCACATCCTCTCCCACTGCGGCCAGACAAGGCAGCCAGCCAGGGGAAGGGAGCCAGAGGCAGGCAACAGAGGCAGAGAGAGCCCCTGCTCCATTGTTAGGGGACACAGTGTTGACCAGGCTGCGCATCTGCTGCACGTGCGCAGGGGGATCTAGGCCCAGCCCACGCATGCTCTTTGGCTGGTGGTTCAGTCTCTGTGAGCCTCCATGGGCCCAGGTTAGTTGACTCCGTAGGTCTTCTTGTAGTGTGCTTGACGCCTCTGGCTCCCCCAATCCTTCCTCCCACTCTTCCACAGCACGCCCTGAGCTCTGCCCATTGCCTGGCTGCGGGTCTCTGCATCTGTTTCCATCAGCGGCTGAGTGAAGCCTCTCAGAAGACAGTTATGCTAGGCTCCTGCTGCAGCTACAGCAGAGGATCATTAATAGTGTCGGGGGTTAGTCTGTGCAATGGGCTGGGTCTCAAGTTGGGCCAGTCATTGCTCTGCCATTCCCTACATCTCTTATCCCTACACTTCTTGTAGGCAGGAAAAATTTTGGGTCAAATATTTTATGGGTGGGTTGGTGTTCCCCTCTCTCTACTGCAAATCCCAGTTAGCTATAGAAGGTGGTGACTTCAGTCTTCTTAACTCCCACTGCTAGGAGTCTCAGCTAGAGTCACCCCACAGACTCCATAGACTCCTGGAGCCTACCCTGGCCTGAGAGACACCACACCACAATGTCCATCCTCTCTTCCAGGCTTCCCCTCCCCCCACCCCCGCTGTCCCTACACCTGATCCCCATTCCTCTCCCATCCAGTTCCCTCCCTCCATCTACTTCAGGTATCTGTTGTGTTTCTTGTTCTGAGTGAGATTAAAGCATCTTCCCTTGGACCCTCCTTGGCATCTTTGGGTCTGTGGATTGTACCATGGCTATCCTGTACATTATGGCTAATATCCACTTATAAGTGAGTATATTCTGTGTGTGTCTTTCTGGACCTGGGATACCTCACTCAGGATGCTCTTCTCTAGTTCCATCCATTTGCCTAAAAATTTCATGATTTCCTTGTTTTTAATAGCTGAGTAGTATTCCATTGTGTTAATTTCTACAATTAACAATTGTGTTAGTTATTACAATTTCTGTATCCATTCTTCAGTTGAGGGACATCTAGGTTGTTTCCAGATTCTGGCTTTTATTAATAAAGCTGCTATGAACATGGTTGAGCACTAAGTCTAATAAAAGAGAAAGATAAGTTCTTAATAAATTACCCAGCCTTTCTCTGAACTCTGGTGGAAGGTTTTATTTTTGCTATAACTTAATTTTATACACATCTAATGTTTATTTTCATCAAGAAGGTCCTCTCGGAGGATCTCAGCCAGAATTTTCCTACAACCTAGAAATCAACAAATGACTGACAGAAGGTCCCTTTCCTCTTCTCTCTCCAGCTCAATAGGATGCCACCTGCCAAATTCTACATGCTTCAGGAACAACTTCTCAGCGGAACAGAGCAAGAAACCCAGAGTCAAGATCCAAGAGAAGAATATGTGTTGTACAATTTTCCTACCAAGTTCCCAAAACATCTGTTTCAAGCGACAGTACATCACAACAGGCCACCCCCACTACTGTGTGTATGTGTGTGTGTGTGTCTCAGGAGACATACGGTTTGGACTATCACACTTTCTCACTGAGAATATGCATGTACAGATGAATGACATGAAGTGGAAGGGGAGCTGTGAGGAAGTAGAAGGAGGCCTAAACGAAGGGAAGGATCAAGAGGGGGTAAACAGCAGGAAGGAATGACAAACGTTGCAGGCTTCTCTCATATGTGGAATCTGGATTTAAATATATATACACGCATATATACATGTAACATGAAAGCAGATGGGAAGGAAGAGGACCATTAAAAAAGTGGAGAGAGCTGGTCGCGGTGGTACACATCTGTAATCCCAGCACTCAGGGAGGCAGAGGCAGGCCTCTGTGAGCTCTGTGAGTTCAAGGCCAGCCTAAAACACTGTGAACACTACAAAATGAGTCCAGGACAGCCAGGGCTACACAGAGAAACCTTGTCTTGAAAACAATAACAACAACAACAAACAAACAAAAAACAAAAACAAAAAAAGTGGGGGGAGGGGCAATGGCAGCCACAGTGGCACACACCTGTAATCTCAGCACTCAGGAAGGCAGAGGTGGGTGGATCTCTGTGAGTTCAAGTCCAGCCTGATCTACAAAGCAAGTCCAGGACAGCCAGGGCTACACAGAGAAACCCTGTTTTGAAAAACAAACAACCTTCCCCCATAAAAAGTGGAGAGATATGGAAAGAGGGGAGGACAACAGTAAAAAAAAGAACAAGATAAAATTATATACACATACACAAATGTCACAATAAAACACATTATTTAGCTGGGCACAGTGATGTACAGTACTCAGAAAGCTAATAAAATCCCAAGCCACGTTAGGCGACATAGACCCGGTAAAAACCTTACACACACACACAACAAAACACCCAAACAAGCAATAACAACACACCAGCCACACAAGCTTTATTCTGAATACTAGCTAAAAATAACGAAAAAGAAGAAAAGAGTAGGTGTCTGGCTAAGGGTGGGGGACTGAGTTTCCAGGCTGCTGTAAGTTCTATGCAGGAAGAAGGACATTAATGGTCACTTTTCAGCCCAGACTAATCAACTCTTCCCAGGGACCCCTTGAAGAAGCAGCCTTGCCTTGAAGGATTCAGAATGCAGAAGTGACTTTTCTGTGTGTTTTAGACTCCTCCCCGGGGAAGACTGTCTCTCTGGCTCTCAGCACTTCTTAGTTGCCTATAGTTCTTGTCTAGGGATGAGGCATGTGAGCTTCTCCCTCCCACGTTAGCATGTGTCTTGGCTATCCTGCGCCCAGTGTGTGGACTGAGTGTAGCCTAGCTGACCACACTGTGCTACTGAAGTCATGGATTGTGAAGGGTTCTCACAAATCATAGCAACTGCACAAACAAATGATCCGTACATACCTTGGGAGAGTCAGAGCAGCAGCTTGATTTGGAATAGCTGGTTTCAGAGAAGGATGCTCATTTATGCCATCCCCAGGTTTCAAGAACCAGATGAAAAAAGAAAGAAAAAAAGGACAGGACATGACTGGTCCCAGGTTTCAGCACCGGATGAGTGAAGAAGAAGAAAAAACAGAAAAAGAAGTAGAAAGGAAAGGAACATGGCTGCTCGTAGGTGTTGTGGAGGAGGAGGAGGTTTGTTACAGATCTGTGGGAGAGCAGAGCCAGAGGCAGGGACATCTGGGAAGGTTCAGAGTGGACATGACTGGTCAGAGTGTGCCCTGTGGAAAGAAGGGGAGGGGAACGGAGAGTTGAGAGCAGAGGAACCGGGTGCAGCAGCCAAGAAGGCAAAGGTTGCCAAAATAGTTGGATTATAAAAGGAAGGGCAGCGCAGCTCCCTGGGCTGGAGAGGTCAGGGTAGGGGGCAGGGTGTGCCAGCATGGAGGACCCTGTAACAGGTAGGAACCTGGAGATGCCAGGAGAACCTGGACACCAGGTCAGCTTTGATATGTTAATTAGGCACCTCACCCGTTTGCCCCTGGTTTGAAATCTAACAGCCACTATATTAAATCAGCATACTCTCTATTTTCTAAATATCCTCATATAACAAAGGGCAGTCCTCATCCCTAAGGGGGGGGGGCAGTGTAAAAGGACAGTAAGAGCCAGAGAAATGGAAGCTTTGCTGTGAGATTGTGTCTCTTAGAAATGTCAGAAGCTACACCACACCTATGAAGTCTCTCACAGACATGGCTGCCTAAATATGACCTGGAAAAGGATGACACCAAAAGACATGCTAACATGGATGGGGAATCTCAGGAGGCCTCAACCCTAGGCAAAGAACTAAGGCAAATAAGGAATGCTGAGATCTGGAGAGGTAGTCTTTCTTGGGGAAGAGTGTGTCCATTGGTTATCCAATACCAAATTGTCAGCCATGAAAACATACAAGTAACATTACACAGATGGAGTAGGCTGTAAGCACACACACACCAGCTTAAAGGATAAAGAGGCCATGAACTTGAAAGAGTGCAAGGGAAGAGTTACTTGGAAAAGTTTGG